TTTCAAACAGAATTTAAAGATTCTTTTTTTCCCTCCCTTTTTCTTCCTCCTCCACTCTTTATATGTTATGTGTCATATTCTGTACTCTTGTGCATCTCTTGACTGATGTTGTGGGTAGTTGATTTAATTTTGCATTTCCTTATAACTAATTGGTCTATATCCTTTGCTGTGGTTTTATTTTCTCTGATGACAACTATTTAGTCTTAGGAGCAGTTCCATCTATAGCACAGTCACTCCAGAATACCCTGTAGAGACAGTTTGTGGGAGGTAAATTCCCTCAACTTTTGCTTTTCTGGAAATTGTTTAATCCCTGCTTCAAATTTAAATGATAATCTTACCGGATAGAGTATTCTTGGTTTGACATCCTTCAGTTTTGTTGCATTAAATATATCATGCCACTCCCTTTGGCCTGTAAGCTTTCTTCTGAGAAGTCTGATGATAGTCTGTAAGTTTTCCTTTGTATGTGATCTTTTTTCTCTGTCTGCTTTTAATACTATATCCTCATCCTTGATCTCTGTCATTTTAATTATTACATGTCATGGTGTTGTCTTCCTTGGGTCTCTTGTGTTGGGAGATCTGTGCACTTCCATGGCCTGAGAGACTGTTTCCTTCCCCAGATTGGGAAGTTTGCAGCAATTATTTCCCCAAAGAGACTTTCTATTCCTTTTTCTCTCTCTTCTTCTTCTGGCACCCTTACAATGTGAATATTGTTCCATTTGGTTTGGTCACACAATTCTCTTAATATTCTCTCATTCCTGGAGATCCTTTTTTTCTCTGTGTGCCTCAGCTTCTTTGTATTTCTGTTTTCTAATTTCTATTTCATTTACTGTCTCCTCTACTTCATCTGACCTGTTTTTAAATTCCTCCATTTATGTTTCATTTCAGATAATGTAGTTTTCAAAGTGTGCATATCTTTTTTGAAGTTCTCCCTGAGGTTTTGAATATTTTTCTGTAGCTTCATGAGTATGTTTATGATTTTTATTTTGAAATATTTATCAGGAAGGCTGGTAATTTTTGTTTCACTTTGCCCTTTTTCTAGTGTTTGTGGGACTTTTGTTTGGACTAACTTCTTTGCCATTTTATATTTCTAATAATTACTATGGAATAATAACTTTGTGTTGGGGGCACCCTCTAGTGCCCAGAAGCTCTACCATCTGGAGCTGCCCAGCCCCTGGAGTGATGGCAGAGGTCACAGGTATGCAGTGCCAGTGCCTGCCAGGAGGAAAGAGCTCTTTCTTGTTTCCTGGCTGCCTTGCCTGCCTGCACTACCAGCCATAGGTAGGAGCCTCTATGCTATTATGCACTTGTAGCTGCCATAGGCAGGGTTGCTCTCCAGCTGGACTGTTGCAATGCCAGGGCTGCAGCTTGGTGAACCAGTGCTTGTTTGCAGGAAGGAGCACCAGGCTGTGTATCACAGAAGGGCACCTTGATTGCATTGCCAGCTAGGGGTATGGAGTATGTATAGCTTCTGAAAGATCCCAGCCTGCTGGACTGTGTGTGCAGGATAATTTTGTCCACTTGTCCTTTTTCCTGAGCAGGTAGCTCTGTGCAATCCTTGCCCCTTTAGCAGCCCTTTCATTGTTGGGAATTCTTTCTTTGTGCCTGCTTTTCTTTTGTCCTGGAGTGGCCTATTTTTGGTACTTGTTCTCCACAAGTAGCTGGAATCTCAGTCTTTTTGAGTAATCTGCCTATCTTTGCTTTCCAACCCATCTAATCTTCAGAGCACCATGTAATGTGCATTTGTGTTCCCCGAGCAGATCTCCAGGGGTGGGTATTTAGCAGTCCTGCGCTTCTACTCCCTCCTTGCTCTGTTTCTCTTTTTCTTGCCTGTGAGATGGGGTTGGAGGGAGGGCTTGGGTCCTGCCAGATTGTGGCTTTGTTACTGTACCCTTTTCTGTGAGGTCTTCTCTCCTCCCCAGATGTAGACTATCTGTTGCAGTCTTCTTTTTAGTTGCTCTTTCAGCATTAGTTGTATTTGCTGTTTTTTTTTTGTGTTATATGTGGTTTTGGGAGTAGGTTTCTGCCTCACTTCTCATGTTGCCATCTTGTTTAATCCTGTTTTTCAGCTTTTTTTTTGATAGAATGCAAAATACAGTAGCCCCTTTTACAGTTGCAGGTGTTTAATTTGGCACTTATAACAAGGCTTCCACTTGAGGCATTTCCAATAGTACATTGTTTGTAACTTTTAACTATCACTTTTTTCCTCTGTTTATGTTAGGGGCTTCATAAATCAGTGAATAAAGAAAGGTGATTGCAATTATAAAGCTAACATAATAGTTCTTCATTTAAACTTGGATCTTTTTATCCTAAATGTTATTAAAAGAAAAATGTATTCTTAGAAGGTCTTTTGAAGATTTGACCATTTTAAAAGGATTCTAAGCATGAGCAAAACATGCCATTTGCTGAAAAAGTGATGTAGCACATGTGCTGCAAACTCTCAAGTGTAGAAACTGAACTAGACCAATTTTTTATTCCATCCGTTTGAGGTTCAATTACTAATAAACATGATAGCATGAAAACAGGATGATATTTGGGGTTTTGGGCTTGGTTTGCTGTCTTGGTGAAAGGTAGTCTGTTTTGTTATGCTTTTTTTATTGTGCTTAGAGTTTGAACTAAGATATAAAAGGAAGTAGGAGAGTTGAAGCTTTGTTCTGAAATTTTAAAAGGAGAAAAGGGAGATTTGTGTCTATCCTGTAGTAGCTGATTAGTGCATCTTAAACCCCAACCAGACAGATGATTTCCAGACTTCCTGAAAATAAATGAAGATGTTGTAGTCATCTCATAGTTTCCTATGCATCTTGCCTTTAAAACATGGGAGCACATTTTATTATTATTTAAATCAAGTATTTATTGGCTATATATTGTGTTAGGTGTGGGGAAGACAGAGAGTTTTAAGATGTAGTCTTTGTGTTTAAGGGATGTACACAGTAAAATTATTAACAGCTTTCTAAATTAGAGGCTATGGGAAGGTTGGGACAGGCAGTTCCTGCTACTGCAGTTCCTTTTCCTTTCCCATGTAGACTCTGTAAGGCTGGAGGCACCAGGGGAAGGGGTGAGCCTGATGGACAAGCTCAGGCCTCACCAAATGAGGTGAAGAGACCAACAGGTTCTGGTCTGTCAACATTCCAGAGCCTGATCGGACAATCCTCCCAACTAGAGCCCTTCCCCAAGCTAAAAGATTAGTGGTGACTTTCCAGTACCTGTCTAAAGGCCAATGAGAGATCCCTACATACCCTACATGAGCCAATCCTCATGCCACTGTACAACTTTGCTCTCCCTCCCCCTGCCTTCTTTAAAAAATTGCTGCCTGCCCTGCTGGGTGTGACTTCCCTGGCCTGTGTTTCAGACCGTGAAACATCACCTGGGAAGTGCATTCAAATAAACTGCCTGGCCCGTTGTTGCCTCTCTTCACCTGCTTATTTAAGTTGGAATTTATTGGAATTTATCTTACAGACTCCTCTGTATTGACCTAGCTATGTGGCAAAGTCTTCTGTCCTAGGGGTTTGCTTGGTATGCCCTCTGGCTTTTAGTGTGCTGAACCTGGCACACCCTGGCTCTTGAATATTCACATGGACACTGGAGTTTTGGGTCTGTGGCTAGACCTCCTTGTCTTGGTAATTGACTCAGGCCACCTTTTCTGGATTACTGACGTCTGTGCCTTGCCTGTCTCTTCCCTCTGCAGTCTGTCTTTGATTTCGTTCTTTAGCAGCTTTTGGGAGGTGACAGCCTACTTTGGCTGCACAGCATCCATGCCACTGATGAGAAGTTGATACCTTGTGTCATTCCTTTCTCCCATCCTGATTGCACTTCTCCTTCTGCTGGAGAATATAGCAGAGTTCATGGAGGAGGTAGAACTTCAAATGAACCCTGTGGAAAACAGAGTTTTGAGAAGATTATGCTGAAAGGACCACACACAGATGAGTGAAGACAGGGAGACTTCATGGAGGTTTTACCATGACCAGGATCAGAGGATAAAGCCCAAGTTGGTGGTAATATGAAAAGGAGAGATTGATGGTAGAGATATTACTAAGTAAGAATTATCTAGACTGATTGGGCAGAAAGAGAAAAAGAGAAGGAATCGTTTAAATCTTAGAAATGCTAAATGTAAAAATAAAGTTTTATTTTAAAGGTAAAAGTGACCACCTGGGGGAAATATGAGAGACCGTTGAGGGGTCACCTGCCACTAAGATGACCAAATGTCATGATTTGCTTAGGACTGAGAAGGTTCTCTGGACTTGGGAGTTTTGGTTTCAAAACCAGGTCCTTGGCTGTAACTCCAGAGGGAAAATCCCACAGCAAAATATCCATGAAACTGAAATCAGTCAAAGGGAGAAATAAAGTGGGAGAAAGCTGTTTATTTCTTACAAGCAGTCATCCACTTCTGCTCTCCTGTGTCTCTCATGACCCAGCTGCAGAAGAAGAGCCCCCCACCCCCCAGCCTCTCTGGTCCAGACATGCCGTCCTTGCCCAGGTAATTACCTATTGATAGAGAGATGGACTACTCTTCAACCCTTGGAAACACCTATTGATATGAAGATGCACCAATGCCAGGCAAGAGATTCTGGAAATACTGCAATTTTACCCATATTGACAAACCAGGACAATTTGGTCACTTTATGACTGACCAATACCAACATCATATAGCATGGTGTTAAAAGCTTTTACCCTTTTTGAGGGGTGGAATGCTCTTTTGACAGTCCAAGTCAACTTTGCCTGGGTGGTTTTGGACAGGCATTTCAAACAGCTATTGGGATTTTAGTCAAAGAGGTTGAAATTTTATAACTGGGGGAGACAGCCACATATGAGTCACAGGTGCCTTTGTGAGTATAGCCAACCTTCATACTTCCATTTTGATTAAAGGCAGATTTAAAAAGTAAAATCTTTTTGATATACTTTCATGTTTCTCCCACCATCCCCTTAGCCCCTGAACCCCCCAAAAAATTCATAGTTCAATTTTCATAGATTAAAATGTTTTGCTCTTCTTTTATGATTTCTTTTAGTGGGTGATTTAGTGTTACTGAAATAGCTCAAAGCAGGAATCAGAGGCATGAAGAGAAGAGAAGAATAAGATGGGAAGAAAACAATTCTGTGAGTGAATACATTGATTGTTGACTTCTGAACTTGACTGTGCAGTGTCCAAGGTAATCTCTTTTCTCTGAGGTATACATGAAGAGCTTGAAGGGCTTTGAGCAACCAGAATATGTGCTACATATTCATGCATTGATGCTTATGCATTTAGATCAGAAGGCTAAGCTTCACAATACCATTCAAAACTAATTTATTTTCAATGTAAGTATTGTTACAACAAACTTATTTGGTTTTCCAGCCATCTGCAAGCTGGAACCAATAAACCCAAGATTTGTACATAGCACTTTGTGCTATGAATGTCAGCACAAAGTGAACACTGATAATTTGATAAAATAGAAGGAGACAGATATAAAAATGTAAAAATTTGCCAAGCTAACCAAGAAAGCATGGCAGCCTATTTAATGTAGGGGCAAATAATTCCATGCCTCTGTTATTGTTTTATACTCCAGTGGAATAACTGATAATTTAAAGATGACTAAATCATCAAGAAAAAGTAAAAAACACTTAGCATACCTTCTTTGATACTCCAAACAGTGATTTAACATTTTAGAAAGAGTTTATATCAAATTCTTACATTAGCTAGTCTTCAGTTATCTGAAAAATTGACTTCTGTGAAATATTTTATTCCAGGAATTGTCAATAAAGGAAATGTTACTGCATGTTTAAAAAAAAATGATGGAGGAAGCCTAAGTGAGATTCAGGACTCTATGTAGAATACTAGGGACACTGCATTTCTGAGAAAATTGACTTGCAATCTCCCTGTTCAGCTGGGGCTGCACAGTGGATGCCAACTGTAGGACAAAGCCAGATCTTGTAGACATTCTGTTGCCCTGACTGCCGGCAGAGAGCCATCACAAGCTTCAGTGCAGTCCCAAGGGGTGCATATATTAAAGAAAAAGCAAGAGCCATGCTCTGAAATGGCTTATTTAAAATGCAAGGGGTAACAAGAGAGCTGCATTTGGGGAAAGCCCAACTCTCAGAAACAGGAAACTAATCCTGAATCTTGGTTAAAGTTGCTTGCTCTTGGGGATTGAATTCAGCAGGGGAAGTCAGAATGTGGGTTAAGAGTTAGGGAAAATATTGTTTTTCCTTTTAGGTACCAGGCTGGTACTTCAGAACGACATAGCAGGCATCACATCACTGAGATTCAGCCAATTTGGTGAAATCACAAAATTGTGAAAAACACACAGCTTATTGCAAAGGGTTTCCAGGGATATACTTTCTGGCCAAATGCATGATGAAAATATTTTTATCTTCTTTGGTGGTAGCCTCTTTGTAATAAGATAGGGGCACATTTGACATCAAAGAAAAAAAAAGAGGAATGAATAATACAGAGTCCAGTGGGATAACAAATAAGATGATCCCACCACTTTTGAAATAGTATTCCTACCTAGCATTGATCTGCTATTGTTTTCTTTCAGGTTTCTTTTTTTGTACATAAAAGAAAGAAGACAATATCATTTGCTATTGTTTTACTTATAAACCTTTAAGCAAAGTATAGAATTAAAGTAAAGTCACATAACCCATTGATGATATCCCTCACTGGATTCATGACTTTGACAGAACATGCCTGCATATAAAAAGATCATTTTTTAAACATTTTTTTATTAAGGTATGATTGATAAACACTCTTATGAAGGTTTCACATGAGAAAACAATGTGGTTACTACATTTACCCATATTATCAGGTCCCCACCCATACCCCAATGCAGTCACTGTCCATCAGTGTAGTAAGATGCCACAGATCCACATGTGCCTTCTCTGTGCTACACTGGTCTCCCCGTGATCCTCCACACCATGTGTACTAAACATAATACTCCTCAATTCCCTTCTCCCTTTCTCCCCACCCACCCTCCCACACCCCTCCCCTTTGGTAACCACTAGTTCATTGCAGAGCCTCTGAGTCTGCTGCCATTTTGTTCCTTCAGTTTTGCTTCATTGTTATACTCCACAGATGAGGGAAATCATTTGGCATTTGTGTTTCTCCTCTTGGCTTATTTCACTGAGCATAATATCCTTCAGCTCCATCCATGTTGTTGCAAATGGTAGGATTTGTTTCTTTTTTATGGCTAAATAGTATTCCATTGTGTATATATACCACCTCTTCTTTATCCATTCATCTACTGATGGACACTTAGGTTGCTTCCATATCCTAGCTATGGTAAATAGTGCTGTGATAAAATAGGGGTGCATATGCCTTTTTGAATCTGAAAAGTTGTATTCTTTGGGTATATTCCAAGGAGTGGGATTCCGGGGACAAATGGTATTTCTATTTCTAGTTTTTTGAAGAACCTCCATATTGCTTTCCACAATGGTTGAACTAGCTTACATTCCCACCAGCAGTGTGGGAGGGTTCCCCTTTCTCCACATCCTCGCCACCATTTGTTGTTCTTAGTCTTTTCAATGCTGGCCATTCTTGCTGGTGTGAGGTGATATCTCATTGTGGTTTTAATTTGCATTTCTCTAATGATTAGTGATGTGGAGCATCTTTTCATGTGTCTGTTGGCCATCTGAATTTCTTCTTTGGAGAACTGTCTCTTCATATCCTCTGCCCATTTGTTAATTGGGTTATTTGCTTTTTGGGTGTTGAGGCATGTAAGTTCTTTATATATTTTGGGTGTTAACCCCTTGTCAGATATGTCATTTACAAATATATTCTTCATTACTTTAGGATGCCTTTTTGCTTTGTTGATGATGTCCTTTCCCATACAAAAACTTTTTAATTTGATGTAGTCCCATGAGTTCATTTTTGCTTTTGTTTTCCTTTCTTGAGGAGATGAGTTCAGGAAGAAGTTGCTCATGCTTATATTCAGGAGATGTTTGCCTATGTTGTCTTCTAAGAGTTTTATGGCTTCATGACTTCAAGTCTTTAATCCATTTTGAGTTTACTTTTGTGTA